CCCTACCAGGACTACTTATCTTTGTCCGCTTAAACATGTACAGATTCATTTACTCACTCACTCTCTCCAAACCATTACATGACCATGACCCTAGAAACAGGAGTTCAAATGCTCACTCCACAGGCCACTACCCTCCCCGAGTCTCCCTTGTGTTCCCTCAATGAATGTCATTTCACAGGACAAGGAAACCTTGGAGGTTAGCTTCCTTGCTGTTTATTTCCTTTTTCGATTTCCACATCTGAAAAGCCACCATAGCACCCACCACTTATAACAGCTTAAAAATTCACTGATTACTGCAACAACTTTCATAGTACCTTTCATGGGAAAACTTTTCTATTACTCCCATAAAGTAGCTACCAAGTAACAACCCCATTTACAATAAAGGAGTAAGTATAAATGAGGTGGATAAGGTCTTTTTACAAACACTAGTGACAGAAACAGGAAACAAAACCTGATTTTCTAAATTTCATCAGAGTACATATTAAAGAGATGAGTTTATCAACAATTTCTTCGAACTAGTTCTTATAATTTTTTAGAACAGCTGCTGTGATCTGAAGATGGACTATTAAGAAGCATGAGTGGCTGGAGAGCGGCAGTGGGGGTGCTGGCTGAGGTGGCGGTTTGGCCACTGCTCTGTGAAATGCTACAGTCTAGTTTATCCAGTTCTCAAATCTAAGCTAGTTGGTTTATATTATTTTGGATTCCAATATCCTCCTTTCTTCTAAAGTCCTGGAAAAATACTGGTATTTACGATCAAACTGACCTTTTCATATTCCACTCTTCCCAGCAGTGTGTGAAAAACCAATTAGCTAGGGAGGCACTAGGAACCCTGATTCACTGGGAACTCTCAGAGCCTCTACCATTTCAAGCAGTTTTACAACCATCTCTTCTGGTGATATGAATGGGGTTTACAGCCTTCAGAAGGTGCTAGGGAGAGGAATGGTTAGAGAAATAGCCGGCTTGCCTCAATTCAATCACCTTGAGGTGATGGAAGCCCCTCACATTTTCAGGATTCAGATGATGAAGGATAGAACTTATCCATGGGTAATTTTCTAGAAGAACAAGGCTTTTGGCATCTAAACCTCCGCATCACAAACTTCCTGCTATTATCTAATACCCACCCCCCAACTCAGCCATCACTGTTTCCATGGCAACCGACAGAGAAATAGCAGCCTGCCAAATGGCTTTTGTAGTTCCTTCTCCAGCTTGTTTTTCAGTATAGAATTAAAGCAATACTGGGGAAAGAACCAGACTAATCTTTATAATGGGACACAATACAGTTTGAAAAGTACAACTGGGTTTGGGACAGGAGTGTAGAAAAGCTTTAATAAGCCCAGCTCGGTAGAATGAAAAAGGCCCTTGGTTTCTAAAAAATATCTACTGAGGTATATTTGGTGAGCTTTACTTCTGTCTTAAGACAGTATATCCTTAAGACAGAAGATAGGTATGGTGCCTTAAACTGAATTCACAGAAAGGTGGGATGAACGGAAGAGAAAGATTAGGCAAGTATACTATGCACTCAAGTACCTTATTATCACCAAAGGAAATGGTAATTGACTCTAAAATCAAATGCAGGAGTTGATGCACTTGGACTAGAGGATGGTGAGACAAGGACTGGCATCTTGGAGGAGTCGATGTTAATCCCAGGAACGATGGATGCATGAAGCTGACTGAGTCAACGGCATGAATCAGAGGGTCACTGGTGCTTAGGAAACAAAGATCTCCTTACCAGCTCTGCACAGCGAGAAATTGTTAGGAATGAAATGTGTGGAACTGGGGCAGCTTCCAGAAGATTGGCAGCTACAGAGAACTGCTTCAGGTGCCAGACTGCAGAACAAACAGCTGCTGCAGGGGTAGAGGAGTTTGAATGTTTAAAAAAAAAAAAAAGGCTATTTCTCTTTGAAAGTGGCCCAAAACAGATGCTCTTCTGTCTCAAAACTGCATAGTTGAATGAAGTACAGGATATCTCATGATTCTTTTATGTCAGCTTTAGATAAGAAACTTTGACTCAAGTCAAACAGGTGTCACCTTCTCCTCTGATAGGTTAAAACTAACTAGATTTTGAAAGAGATCCCCACCCACAACCCGCAGCACACTCCAACTGTCTTGACAGACGTCAAAATTACAATCTATAGTCATATAGCAAGATATGGTCCTAGGAGTTATGGGAAGTCAGACTCCTACAAATTCCACACAGAAGACCAACCTAATTTATATTTCCTAATTTATGCTTTTACCTTGAGTTGTATGAATCATGAGTCATGTTCTCGGAGTTCTCACCATAGTTTAGAAAGAAAAGGAGACAGATTTGCAATAACCACTTCCTTTCAATCCTTCAGAAAAGGGATCATTATCTTAAGATAAAGATGATGTACTCTCAGACACATTTCCAAGGCTGTCAACTCAAAGAAAGGCTTGTGCACTTCTAGGTCAGCTAGATTTGTGAAGCCCTAGATTTTAAAAATCTGTTAAAGAAACTTGAAGAAATCTTCCTGAAAGTTTAAACCTGGGTCTTGTTTATCCAAGAATGGAATTTATAGGTTCTGGGGAAAATTTTAAACTGTATTCACTAATGCATGATTATAATTTCAAATATATTAACCTTCAACTTCCCCATCTTAAACAAAAGCCAGAATTGAAGGGATATAAAGTTGCACCAAATCCAATCATAGTTAAGCTATTCAGGAAGCCAAAAATTAGTACCTGAGGTACTGACACATTTATAGTTCTTCCCAAATGTGTTTCCTTAGCCAACTTTGTTTCAAGATCTCAGACAGACTTCTTACTCGTCAGATCTGTATTTTCATCAAATCAGCTACCGTAGTCATAGTATAGATTCCCCTGCTACTGGCAGACAATTAAAGGGACGTAACCACATTTTTAGTGTTTCATGGCCTGTGCTTTCACTCATGTTCACCAAAATAGACTCTAAAAAGCCTTGAGAAGACAAATCTTCAGTAAGTATATCAATCTCCCTCTTACACAGAGATTTTGTTCCAAATAGTTACCCTCAGAAATAATGCTATGTGGTAGTTACATTCTCCATCCACAAATTAATCTATAACATAACTGAATTGTATTACCAAGGAAAAGCTCTTGATCACCATAAATAATGTTTTAATATGAGAAAATGAAGACCTTCAGCTACCTCGAGGGGAAAAGGAATGGGGGCATTCTGGGCACCAGAACATTGTTAATGCTTAATAGTTGGAAACTGCTTGTACAGTAAAACTAATTATCCAGAAAGCATGTGTTGGGAATTCTTAAGCTTCCAATCTATAAATAGGCCAAAAATGTTTTTAAAAAGGGATGGTGGTAATGGTGGTGAATATGTGTGTGTAAAGAAGCAGTAACCAAACATTCAAATACTTGGCAACAAAGAAGATAACTGCAAAGAACGAGAGACTAGGATTATACCCAAGATTATACTGGATATACTAGTTTACCTGCCAATCAAAAAGACAGCAGGATAACTCCAGAAGGAAGGCCAAGTACTAGCATGTGCTAGATCCCGAGCACCAGAGGGAAAGCTGACTTCCTCTTACTTACTCATTGCTATAGCCCCAGCTCCCAGGATCATGCCTGGCAAAAAGTTGGTGTTTGTATGTCTGGCTTGAGAAGAGGGTCTAAACTTTAAAATGAGACACGTGGTGTTTCTCTGCTACTCATGTAACGGGCGACTTATGAAGGGTGGGAGGAATTCTTCACATGTGTGAACCTGGGATTTAACTGAGTAGAAGCTTGCATATGAAAACATAACCATAACTAAAAAGAATATGACCAAAGCTGGGGAGCCTGCTTCTTAAGTGGTACTCTCTGGTACAGGAGAGGGCTGACTGCCAATGAAACTGTGAAGGCTACTCAAAGTGCTCACGGAGCAAGTTCACTCAGAAAGTCACGGGCAACTGACAATCCCCCACTAACATAGACCAAATTTCTGGGTAAACAAAAGCAAAGAAAACTCAGTCAATGGAAAATACACCAGCAAAAGGTGCTTAACGGTATAAATGCAAAACAACACAATATGCTTCAAAATACCATGCTTGGAAACCCAAACAGATGTCAGGAAAACAGCCCAAGTCAGAATATCTGATGAAGAACAGACATGAGCACTGACTGCCTGATAATTACATGGTCTGGATTAGGTCATACTCAAAACACAGCCTTGCAGACCTTCCACAATGACTGTGTCTTGTTTAATGTTGTAAGCTGAATGATTAGGAATCCTGGTTAGAAAAAGACACAAACCCTGGAAATAGACAATTTGGTAGAGGTTTGCTCTTTTCTTAACGTTCCTACTATCTTTCTATATATCTTAGTCTTAAAGTTCTACACTTGTTGATTCAAAAGAACTAACAGCCCTTGTAACCCTCAAATGTAATACAGACTAAGAGCTAAGATAAATATAGTTTAGTCACCACTTTTCTGATAATCTGGTTTGAATTTCTTCTCTCTGAAAGAATCAGGGATTCATCTGGATTTCAGGAGCAGGCTAAGAAGGCAGGGAGGATGTATGCGATGCTCCCTCACAGAAAAGAGGCAACCCTGCCATGAAGAACACAAAATAAAGGCTTCTTCAGGGGCACCTTCCTTCAGTCTCCTTCCTTTCCCTTCTTGGCTCCTCTAGCTTGAACCTTCCCTTTGTAAGTCCTCCTTCCTAGCATTCACCATAATTCCAATTAACTTGAACACTTAGTAATATCTCTCTCTCCCGCCATCTCCAGGAGGACAAGGACTGTGTCTGTCCTTTCCACCAATGGAAATGAACCCCCAGCACCTGGCACAAGGCAGGCAACTTCCGTTGCATCACTAAATGAATAAATGGCCTCTTTGGAAGTCAAAGTCAACCACGGGGTAAGCAATCAGTTGAAAACGTTTCATCAACAAAACATGTACTCCTGTCCCCTAAATCTGAAAACAGAAGATTTTCAGCAGCTTAATTTTTTTCACAGAATATCAGGAGGCAGGAAGAACATAAAATAAATAAAGAGGATACTCACTGGTGGGGGCTTCTTCCTCATCTCAAAGATGCGTGTGGCACCAAAACTGAGTGAAGCGATGATGGGGCACCTTCCCAGCGAGGGCTCGTCATCGCTATGCCAGTCCACGCTGTCCTTCTCATTCCGGTACAGATTGCAAAGCAGGGAGTTGAAGGTGTGGCCCGTGTTCGCTTCAATTTGGTTCTTTAGTGTGAGCAGCACCGGATGCCACTGCAATCAACAGGCCAAGAAAAGGGGCAGAGATGGTTCACGTAAGACACAAGGTGGCAACCACGTGGGAAAACAAAAAGTGCAAAATCAGTCACGTTATAAACTGGGGCACTGAATAGGCAAACCACTTGAAATGCATAAACAAAAGGCTAGAAGAGTAGCTTAATTCCCTTCCATGACTTCTATTTTGAAGCAAGTTGACCTCTGCAATTTTATTAAGGTATTAAATTTGGTATAGTAATGCCACGATAACCAGGCCTATTCATCCATCTCATCCTCGCCATGTTAAAAGCATGACCCTCACAAAGAAGCAACTGTCAACATATCCAGGGAAGGCCCTCAGGGCAAATCACTGAGGTGGCAAGTGGAGTAGGAAGTCTGGTTTGCCACCACAGCTGACAGGCCACCAAGAGTTAGCAGATACAGACTGAAGTCTGCAGAATGAAACCACTCTCCTGCTGGGTGGCCCTCTGTTCCATCCCTATTTTACCATGAATGGCAGAACTGCCTTTTAAAAAAGATATTTAATATTAATTTCCACATTGGTTAACTTCCTAAAAACAGAACTTGAAGAGGAAAAACCCTCTACAGGATGGAATCATAACACGGCTGTGAACTACAGAAGATTTACGCAGAGTCCACAGCCCTGCCTCCTGAGCACTGAGTTCACTCACGTGGTTTATATTTGGAACTCACTGTCTTGCCACCTATGCTTTAGGAAGCTATGACCTTAGGTTGTACTTGGGAGCTATAAGCAGAATAGCTCATATTGGTTCTTGTTAGAGTTCTCTGTCTTGCCTCCAAGAAATCTCAAGCACTTTACAGAGTTTCCTGTAGAATAGTGGTTCTCACACCACTATCAAAAAATCTTTGAAGACTCCAAAGAATTTCTATTCATATGGGTTACAGCTGTGATATTTACCATATTAAAAATTAAAACTGAGAAAAATTAAAATTATTGGTTAATTCATTTTAAAAATAACCATCTCATTATATGTCAAAAAATATTATTTAATGAAAATTAACTAACTTCCAAAACAAAAAATTGGTGAGAAGAGTGGTGTTATTTTGCAAATCTCCTTAATGTCTGGCTTAACAGAAGAGACTTGATTCTAATATCTGCTTCTGCATTCAATCTGTTACAATATGTTGTTTTTATTGAAGTATAAGAAGAAAATTGGCTTTATACAGATACGTAGTTAGAAAAGTGAGGCGTCTTTCATAGCCCTTTCGAATAACTGTAGATATTCTTTAATATTATACCAAAACTCAACAAGTACTGATTTCTTAAAGGTTAAATGCAATGTGGAATCTGAAATCCTATCAACAAACTTTTCCTATTTGTACATTTAAATCCACAGATCCAGCTTGCACTTTGAATGGATCTTCCAATCTTGCATGACTTGTGACATTCAGCATTGGTCATTTGGAAAACACTGGTTCATTGAGTTATACAGATCTTCTTAACTGTTGACACATTTCATTATACAACACCAGAAAATCATCTCCATTAATGTGACCACCGATCTCTTCAGAAAAAGCTAAGTAAAGGGAAGTGGTCAGGCTCAAAATGGTGGATGTGACTTTTTCCAAAATTCATTTACTGGAAAATTTATTTTTCTAAAATTCATATTTCCTAGAAACCTCAACTTTTATCACTAGTAACAAACACTGTCCATTGTTTTCCTAGAAGTGATACTTCATTCACTTATGAGAAAATGTCTGCTGAATACTCAAGTTTGAATAACTAGTTTGTCTTGTCAGTTGTTCTTCCAAGTAAAATGGTCCATGATGAAAGCAGCTAGTTCAGCTTACAGCTTAAACAATCATACAAAGTTTTTTCCTCAACAACAATCAAACTCGGTTTGCAGCAGGAGTGCTTTATGCATACTTTCCATTTCATCGAACTATTTAAAAAGATCAAGATTTTATAAAACTAATAATGTTTATTGGTTCATCAAGGGACATTCTCAAATGAAACTAGCATTTTTTTTTTAAAAACTGGAAGTACATGGAGTAAAGAAAATAATGATTACTAGTACAGTTTGGTGACAACGCCTTGACTCATGCTAAGGTGCCAGCAGTTTTAGCCACCATTACTTTTGTTCACCAGTGCAAATTCAACACAATGAAAATGTCACCCAGTCTTAGTATTATCATAAAAATAACTTTGACCTTGTGGATTCCCAAAAAGCATTTCATGGATCTCCTCCAGGGATCCAGATTCTACTTTAAGAACTACTAATTTAGAGAACCCCTTAAAAGTCCATGTTCTATGTATGGTAGTGAAGGAATGGATGTTCAGCAAAGGAAAGCATAGTATTATCAGGTATATCCCATGATTACTGTCACGTAGAACTTTCAGGGAGCACATGCGGGAATCACTCAACTTTGCTCTGATATGGAAATCATGGTAAAAGCTGGCATTCCTTGTTATGAATAGTAGCATTACATTCTAAGTAGAGGATTTTTTAAAATGTATTTATTTATTTATTTATTTATTTATTTGAAGTAATACTGGTTTATATCACTATATAAATTTCATGTGTACAGCATTATATTTCTACCTCTAAATACCCTGCAGTGTGCTCACCACCAAAAATTCAGTTTCCATCCATCTCCATATAGTTGATCCCCTTTATCCATTTTGCCTTCCACCCTGCCCCTTCCCCTCTGTAACCACTACTCTGCTCTCTGTATCGATGTGCTTGTTTCTGTTTGGTTTGTTCATTTATTTTGTTCATTAGTTTTTTATATTCTACATAGAAATGAAATTATATAGTATTTGTCTTTCTCCAACTGACTTATTTCACTTAGCCTAATAGTCTATCCATGTTCTCACAAATGGTAAAATTTCATTTTATAAGTCTGAGTACTATTCCATTTATATATATATACCACATCTTCTTTATTCATCCATTGATGGGCACTTAGGTTGTTTCCATATCTTGGCTATTTTAAATAATGCTGTGATGAACACAGGGGTGCACATATCTTTTCAAATTAGTGTTTTCTTATTCTTTGGATAAATAACTAGAAGTGAGATAGCTGGATCATATGGTAGCTCTATTCTTCATTTTTTTGAGCAATCTCCATACTGTTTTCCACAGTGGTTGCACCAATTTAAATTCTCACCAACAATGTATGAGGGCTCCCTTTTCTCCATATCCTCACCAGCATTTGTTATCCCTTGCCTTTTTGATAACAGCCATACTAGCGGATGTGAGGTGATGTCTCACTGAGGTTTTGATTTGCATTTCCCTGATAATTAGTGATGCTGAGCATCTCTCTTCATGTGCCTGTTGTCCATCTGTATGTCTTTGGGAAAATGTCTATTCAGCTCCTCTAAGCAGAAGATTTTTAAAAATAAACAGCAATGACAACAAACAAAGCTGAGATCAATAAAACAAATGTTATTAAACTAACCTATGTTCAGGAGAATAAATTTCAAAGTGAAATTCCACAATAATGTTAGCAAGCTGTATTTCCTATTTATTTCATAGCTTTAAGCTTATCTTCATGGAGGTAAAGATCAGATGCTAGAATTATACAGTTAACAAGAAACACAAGAATGTAAAGAAGGATGATAGCTTTTCGGCAATGTGACGAGAAACTAATTAACACTCCCCTGACTTGCTTAGGGACTGAGCACTGTGATAATACCAAGTTTGCATTATATTTCTAAGTGGGTATATATTTTTTCTTGGTTATTTTTGGTGGTGAAGTAAGGAGAAAAGGAGAAAAAAGGGAATAATGAACTAGAGGATTAATTTAGACTCTCCAACCAATACTCTATATACAGATCCCTCAGAACTGAACGTCTAAATTAAAATTCAGCGTCATCTCACTGTTCAGTGAAGACATTCTATCCTTAAAAGACATTTGAGGAAAAGAGTATGAGAAAATATGAATCACAAAAGTAAAGGGACCTATTCAGTGGATTTCAAACAGTGTTTTGTAGAGTCCTGGGTACCACAGGGAAGCCTCAGGAATCACAGCAGGAGAAAAGAGACCAAGCTGGTGGGACTGCCAGTTGGTCAAGAACTCATTTATTTTCATACTTTGGGTTCATATAAGATTCAATTTGAACAAAAACTAAAAAGTTTAATAACCTGTGATTGAAACTGCTCCTGTGCCATGGGATATGAAGCTTGAGGTAGTAACAATTTTAGAATTAATCTAGTACCACCAACACATATATACACACATTAGTGAATTCTCCCTTAAAAAAATCTGAGAAAGGGGCATCTCTTTTATTTCGTTCAAGATAGTATATAAACTAAGTCTATTAGCAATAAATACAAAGTTATGAGCCAGTCAAATTCAAATTAAAGAACTCTAATTTGACAATCTTAATATCCAACCAAAGAGGCTTGAGTGAATAAATTAGGGACTACTACGTATCTGTTAACTATAGTGTTGTAAGAGAATATTTAATGTTACTAAACTATGCTAATGATACAGTAAAATGAAACGTAGTATATACATAACTGATTTGATTTTTAATAGAAAAACTCTACATGTATTTGCCTAAAATAAAAAAAGACTGGAACCAAAATGTCGGGTGGAAGGATTACTCAAAATTTTAATATTCTTCATGCTTATCTGTAGTTTCTAAATTTTCAATAATAAACACATATCACTTACATTATAAGAAAAGGATTGTCATTTAAAATATTCTTTTGAAGAGTTGTCAAAATGTCCCCGAGCATAAGTGGCCACTCTACTCGGCAGATCTTATGTGCCTTGTGTTTATGGTAAAGCAGTGGTTCTCAACCACGGGCAGTTTGGCCCCCCAGGAGATGTCTGGCAGTGTCAGGAGTCATTTTTGGTTGTCACAACTGGGTGAGGGGTGCTTCTGGCATCTGGTGGGCAGAAGTCATGGATATTGCTAAACACCCTACAATGCACAGGACAACCCCAACAACAAAGAATTATCCAGCCCAAAATGTCAGTAACACCAAGGTTAAGAAATCCTGTTTTAAAAGATTAACTAGAATGAATAAGAAAGAACTTCTCCCCCACAGACTGTTTAATCCTTAACTTCTCTGCTAAGACTGTTGACAAGAAGATAAACTAATTCTGACAGAAACATGGCCAGCAGTCTCTGCTGGATTGGCCTAATTCATGTTTCTCTTCATGTGTCCAAATCAACCTCAAATATAAAGGGTCTCAGCATTTCCCTGGGTTACATTCTAAACGCAGCCATATAGGGCCCAAAGCATACAGCTATCTCCTGGTGTGAAAAAGTCGTGTTCCCTCTGGTCAATATTTCATCCCCAAACATTTTAGTAAAATTGTGGTTTATGATTACAAATTACTAGAAGCTCTAAATGTGTCACATTTCTCTTTATTCCAATGCCATAAGCAGAACTCCATTTTCTTCAAAGTCTCTTTTAATAAAGCATAATATTATTTGCCAAAAGCAAGATGCCAGGGACTAAACAGAGAGCTATTTCTTGGATCTTAATTCCATCATCTGGACAAGCTTAATTTATATACGAGAATCTCTCTGTCTGTCATGGAAATTTTTAAAAACAAAAGAAGCAGTGAAAACAAGCCAAAGCATGATAAGTTAGAAGTCTGAGAACTGCAGCCATAGAATGAATACAAAGTCAACAAGAAAAGCACCCAATTTTTTCACAAATGGCAAAAGAGCCTGAGAAATGAAAAGAAAACATTCTGACCTCACTGGCCAGTCGTAACGATTTGGCCCCACAGCAAATGTGTACCAGGATATACGCAGAAGGGCTGCAGCCAGAAAAGCTTGGGGAAGGGAGAGATTAGGAAAAGAAATGATTCATTTTTCTGAAATCCTCGAGTCTGAGTCTAGTTTACTCCAGTTCCAGTTTTTTTTTTCCTCATCCTCTGAGTTCATCCATACATCAAAAGCACATCAAGGGTGATAAGCACCAAGACTCAGTGTTTGAACCCAGAGGATTTTTTGAACTAGGAACCATCATGCAGCTTTGCAAGGTAACTTACTGTTATTTTACAGTACTCTACATTTACAGTACATAGTCTATAAAACCATACCAACAACAACATTCCAACATACGTGAGGATTTGGTTCCATAGTGATTCTTGAATAAGTGTAAGGAAGTTCTCCATACCATGCTGTAAGTCTTGGTTGCTGGTAAGTTACATCTAAGAAAGAAAATACAGGGCCTTTGACACGGTTTAACGCTCTTTAAGGTGTACCTACTGAGTACTACCACCATGCCTTTGCAATGTTTAAGAAGCTATGAGGAATACAAAGGAAGAGTAAGGATGGGCTCTGACGAAAAGCTCCACTTCCAGAGAGGGCTGGGATTTCAGGAGCAGAACGGTTACAGCCAAAAGGAGGAGGACAAGAGAAGGTACACTGGCAGAAACAGTGTGGGCAAAGTTCTGAGGTGAGAACGCATGTGACTTACTCGTGTCAGTGATGACATAAACAAGAGTGAAGGAGTCACACAGCAGAACCGAAGGGTTCAGATTAGGGAGAGCCTAAAATGCAGGATATGGAGTCTGAACCCTTGTAAGTAGGAACTTGTGGCACCAATGTCCATGCAAGAAACAAGACAAACTGTTCACCCAGGTGCCACCATTATAAAAGGCCTCTCGATTCCAAATGAGAAAAAAAGGAAAAAAAAAAGTACTCTGACCAACCACAGCATGTAGCTGATTTCAGCCAGAAGTTTTTGATTTATTTATTTAGAGAGGAAGTTACCCACAGATCTGCTATTTTTCCTACAAATGGTATCAACCACTACAACAATAAGAACAATAAAAATAAAAGCAGCTAACATTCATCGAAAGCTTACTATGTACCAGACATTCTGCTAGGTACTTAGCATGCATTACCTCATTTAATTATCACAACAACCTTATAAGACAGGTATTATTATCAGCTCCATTTTATAGATCAGAAAGTCAAGGATCAGAAAAGTATTTAACTTTTGTTAAAGTAATTTGCTTAAAATTAACAATTACTTTGAAAGACAGAGTTAGTAATCGTGGTCAAGCCTGTAACCAAAAGCCCCCATGTAGAAATTGCTGGGAATCAGGAGAAGGCTGTGCTGAAAGAGCTGACTCTCATCCTGATGCCTGAGTTGCAAAAATGATGCCAGTATACTTTGCCTCTTTCTCTACAGAAAATTTAAATTCATTGTGCCAGAAAGGAAATTCTATGCTAAAGCACAGACGCCCCCCAGTGACCATCTCTGGTATAGCAGGCACTGTGGGTTAGGAGCCTGTTCCAAGTCGGGTAATCTTGACAAACTCAGAACACTACAGATGCTGAAGCTAAAGGAGACTGGGCTCTAATAGCGAAACTAAAATGAGAATAAAAAGCTGGTAAGAAGGGTTGCAAAAGAACATATGCCAAGTAGAATCAGAAAAAAGAAAGCTCTGGAAGTTTCTATGAAGAAAGAGGAAAGTTGGCACCATTTGAAGTAATAAATAGTGAACAAACACAAATGGAGATAAACATGTCAACCACAGTTCAGCCAAACAAACTTCTTTGGTTCCTTGAACTCTCATCTCCCGCCACTTTCTGAGAAACACCAGCTGTTTCTCCTGCCAGGAACATTCTTCCCTGTCCCCTCTGACTGGCTAAATCCTCAGGGTTCCAATTAGGTTTTGAATCTCTGTTTAAGACTGGCTGTGGTACAAAGAGGCAATCGCATTGGAAAACATTCCAGAACGGGAGACCAGGCGGCAACAACCGTGATCTCGGAGATCTACTTACCCTCTCTGATGCCGGTCCTCTGTTTCCAGGGAACATCCCGACAAAGCTGTTCCAATACCCAGTTGGCTTCTTTTAAGTCAACAAAGCCAGGATACAAACACACCCTTGATGCAGAAAGAGCAGTTATTAACTACAGAACACAGGAAAAGATGGATTAGACTCTAACCATTAGCAGAGAAAATTAATCTGATCTGCTTCCTTTCGTGGGTAGACAAAGTTACAATGCTCCGGATATAAAATAAACCTCTTTCATGTTAAGACAAATAAAAGAAGCAATGAAGGAGGTACATGATGCCTTTTACAGACATGGTTCAAATACTGTCCCAGCACTTATTAGCTGTGAAACCTTAGACAAGTTACCTAACCTCTCTAAATCTTGGTTTTCCCCATCTGTAACACAAAGATGATCTCTACCTCACAGGGTCACTGTGAAAAGTAGAATAACTAGTAAAATGCTTGGCCCTGTGTTATTTTAGCAATTGGTAGTCTTCTGAGATGATGCCAATTGTAGGGAAAGCAATCATTTATAACTGTATCAAAATAAATATATCCAAAGGAGGGTTCTTTCTCTCATTGAATATACACATATTTCAACAATGCCAAGTCAGCTCAAAATTGTTTTGGATATCTTAAGAAATGTTCCAAAACCCCATGGAACAGTCTCTTCAACAGTCTTATTGGTAGTAAAATTTCACTCTTTGAAGGTGCATTTGATTTTTTTTTATCAGTATAACAAGTAATTTATTAATTAATTTTAACCAGTTGCCCAATTAAAAATGATTGAATCTGAATTATTACTTTTTTCTAGTTTTACTGAGATATAACTGACATACAGTTTATGGTATACAGCATAATGATTTGACTGAAAAAGCCAAAGCTCTCCTGAAGCCATACCAAGTTAACAATCAGATATGACCAAAATAATGCAACTGGTTTTCTTGTAAGAGTATTAAACTTACTTTAAACGGAAGGTTCCTAAAAGTTTTAACAATGGCAGCGCCATTGGACTATAATTATAGAGACTTCCAACTCTGACAGAAACTCATCTAAGCAATTCATTTAGACATATAAGTTTTGATTTTGTTTTAAATGTCTTATTATTTTATAGTGACATACATTAAGGTGATGCTTTCAAAATGTTCTTAAACAATGACTAACGCTTAATACACTCTAAATCATATATGCTTTAATTTTGTTAAACTCTAACCTTATGTAGCAATATAATATAACAGTATGTATTATATATAATGTATGATTAATAATACATGTAGTAACAATGTAATAATAATATAATGTATCATTCATAGCACAGAAGTTGAGGCTAGACCCAAGTCTAACATTAAGTTATTATGTAGCACTAGGAAAAAGTACTCAATCTCCCTGGACATCATTTCCTCATCTGAAAAACTGGGGAAGTAATAGTTACTGTATCTGACAGAGAGGCAATAAAAATGTTTTGAAGCTAGAAATGCTGTATAAAAGGAGATATTACCAAATATCTGCTCCCCAAGGATTTAAGGAGCAGAAGTTTCCTACTTTAAGCAAGGGAGTAGACTATTTTAAGAGACTATAACTCAGTGATAATTATAGAATCTTTCTAGTGAGAGGATTCACTTACCTAGACATGCCTGTGGGTGACAGGCTGATTTCATACACACCCTCTTTACTAAAAAAAAAAAAAAACAATGAACACAGACTTGTTAGTATAAGATAAAACAATACACTCCATGGAGCAGAAGGAAGGGCTGTCCTTTGGAGTTCCCAAAGTCCCAGTTCACCAAAATCATTCACTATGAGGGAGACACAACTCTGCTTTCCTCTACCACTGAGATAAAGGGCAAGATGGTGGTACATCATTAAAGGCGCTGGGAATAGAATCCTGACAAAATCAGGCCATGGAGATGAAAATAAGGATAAAATAAATTCTGGTTCTATCCCTTTATATTTCACCCGTAATTCAGGCTGATTGGTACAGGAATCTATCATATGAAGGAGTGCCAAATAGAGCACCCCCTTGGAGACTCTGGAATAGATACATTAAACAGAAGCAAGTACACTTCAGGGCTCTGAGCTTCTGTTGCTTTCAAAGATTCATGTCTAATGAGGTTCCTCCTTTGATTAAAGTCCTTCAAAGGCTCCCCATGAACTTTTCAGCATTGCATTCAAGGTCCCCATGACCTAGCTCTACCTCCTGACAGTTCCCATGGACTCATCATCCTCCAGCAGTAATTACTGCTTAGAATCTCCTGAATATACCCTATGTTTCTAACCTCATGATTTTCTACATGCTGGGATGCCTCCCCACCATTCAGCACCCCCAATTCAACCCACCCCCAGCTTTGGTCCAGTGGAAAATTCTAATTTATCCTTCAAAATTTCAGCTCAGCATCACTTCTCTAAACCTTTCCTGACCTGTAATCCAGGCAACTAATGTTAACTATCGCATCCTCTGAGCTATCACTACACCTTACTTGCAAGTCTACTGTTTCATGATATTCAGGATTATAATGTATCTCATTACATGTATATTTCATTTACTAGACTGTGAGCTCCTAAGTGGGTAGAAATGGGTTATAACTCTGTTTCCTAGTGCCTAGCACATAATAGATGAGCAGTAAAAAGACTACTGAAGTCAACCAAATGTGCAAAAGTACAAAACTGTTTCAGACGGGCAGGATGGTGAGGTCTATGACCCACTGTGGTGAGAAAAGTGACCCAGACTAGACAGGTGCCTCAGTCAAGAGAATTGTATCAGACCCTTTTCAGATACAGATAAGTTATAGAAAATAATATAAAGGGAGAGTATTTACATCACCCTTTACCATACGAGTTAATAGCTCATGATCTCTGAGCAGGGCTCTCAGGAAGGTGTGTGAGCTACTCTGAGCCAAAATGTAGGCAGTTATTGTCATAAACATTTATCACATTTTAAAACATGTTGCCTATAAAGTTTCTCAGAGTGTGAATATAATGTTTCAGTGTGATATATTTTGGGCCACATTTAGAATATGGCTCACCTCAAATGTAAGGACATTTCTGACTATTAAAAAAATCTAACATAGCTAACTTTAGATAAACAGAACAGACCCCAGGGTCAAGTAGGAATGAGTCCTGTCATTTTTTTTCTGACTTGTGAATTAACAATTATCCATTTTTTCAACCTAGATGTCCCATCTGTATCTTGTAACAGGTTTCGTGGTTTTGTTTCTTCTCTTCACCACTAATGGAGGCAGTATCACATGGGCATTTGCAAAACAATCAAAGACTATTAGAGCTACCAGACTGGGTCTTAAGTGATATACTCCAAACCCTTAATATTATAGACAAGGAAACAAAAGTCCAGAGAGATGGCAATAACTTACCTAAGGACTAGTTACAAAGCTAACTAATGGCAAGGCCACAACTACATAGCCTCTCTGAAAGTATGATGACATTTGTTAGTTTCAAATTTTTCTAAGATACACAAGTCAGCCTGCAAACAACCAAACAGCTTAACAGATTGCTCATGAGCAATAATATACACATAATACAAATTTACTAAAATAAAAGGACGCTTTCTACTGATAATTTACCTGCATCAGATGGAAACCGAGAAGTAGGAAAAGAGGAGCCAAAGCACCTTTCATCAATTTTGGAAAATAATGTTTTCGATGCAGATCAATACAAGAGAAATGCTTACTATCATCTAACTGCTCTGGAACAATTATGTGGTTTTACTAAATGAACTGTAAGATCATCTAGATTTTTAGCAGTTTTCAAAAGCATCGCTAGTAAAATGGTACCTAAAGGTTTTTCAAAGAGCCATGTTTCCATGACTCAGGAAAAATCCCTCTCTGTCTTTACCTAGAGGTATTTTAGTTTACTGTCCACAGATACAAGGTGAAATAGGGTCAGGAAATCTACATGAGAGTCAGAGTTTAACGTACAGATATCTTGCTGCATTTTCCACACCATCAGCAAATTCAGAAAGGCTTCTCAAAAGACCAACTTTAAAGACATCTGAGACAGGAAAATCCCAACCTAAAATTTAGACACTAATTGGGCTGTTATCTCTTCCAGATGGAAATATCAACGTGAGGGAAAGATCCTCGGCTCTCCAATAGTTTCAGGAGGGCAGCAAATTACTTACTCGATCACTCGTGGCTCTGGGGCTCTGCGTACCACCTGCAAGGAAACAGCCGGGTCTTATTTCTGACATGATTCCCAATCCTCAGGGAGGCTTACTTGCAGGATTACCACATCCTCTCATTTCCAGTCAAAAAAATCATGTTTAGAACTATCCCTTTTTCATCCTAAGCTCTTACTAACCCACCAGAAACTCTTGTTTCTGTTCTTCTTAAAACTACTTCACTGTTACTTAAGAGCAGTGAAAGATGACAAAATTAGAATTAATCCATTTCCCAGCAGCCAGCAGCACTGGAAAAACCTTCTTTATAGGGGATTTTTAAAAATAGAAGATACATTATGAAATAAGGGGTTTTAATCATTATTTATACAATCATTTCTACAACAAGATGTCTGATTTTTAGCTTTTCACATGTTATTAAAACAGGGAATCTTCACCCATTCTTACAGTTCTCCCAGTGGAAAAAAAAAGCTAAAAAAAAAAAAAATCAGGCATTGTAGTAGCTGAAATTTCAATCCAATTCCAGAGACATCTAGCATATTTTAGGATTGTTAGAACTTAGCTCACTAATGCAGGTGCTAGTCAAGGTATATCCTCTAATCTCTAGTTATGGTATGCCTCCATGCCAAAAAATGGGAATTACATATGCCTATAAATTGGGGGCAAACTACAAAGAATCCTCAGACATACGAAGGAGCTGATGCTCTACATTTCACTATTACTACAGTCCTTTCAACTCTCCCTTTATCAGCAAATTTATTGTTACTATTTGAGTATCTGGTGTGTAAATACTGCTTTTATAAATAAATCTCTGTTACTGTTGAAGAAGAAACAAGAGTTTACCTCCTGGGGTTCTTTGAACACAAAGTGTCTTCCAGGCAGATGATGCTCCTTGTTCGTCCAGGTCTGACCAGGTCTCTGTTGGAGATGGTTCTCAGCAGTGGTAGCTGAAGCAAGAGAGAGAGAGAGGAGACTCAAACCAGGAAGAAGTCTGCTCTCCTCACCCCCTGCTGAGCAAGGACCAATGAAATTCACTTGGAGAACACCTCTATGACATCTAGAAATTAGTATAATCAATCAAAGATCTCAACTCACACAGTGAAAGGTTCGAGAATAGTGACTAAACACAAGGAACACTAAAGATCAACCCTTAGCTCACTGACAACATAATCAGAAAAAAAATAACCAGCTACATTTTAAATAATTCCTTACCATCCACTGAAATGGGTGTCCACTATAAAGGGCAAAGGGATATACAAAAGGAGGATGATGCCTGTCCAGGTCCGCATGCACGCACACATGCACGCACACGAGATCCCACAGGTTCTTGCCTGGCTGAGCAATGGCCTGGCTCTTAGCACGGCCAGCCCAGGCTCCCTGCACTCGGGCTCGCTGTCTTTTGTCCTCCATGTTGACCAAAAAGGCTTCTGCTTTTAGCTTTCAGAAGATTTCATTTCTGATTCAAACCACACGATGGTACCTGTGTAAAAAAAGAAAAAGATGTGTTTAGTTGAGGTTGTGTGAGCTTGGACCACCAAGGGGTAATTATAATCCTTTCAGACAGACAAGATGGCTCAAAAGCAATCAGAGCTTCTATATAAAATCAACTTCTGTCATCACAACATCTCACTCAAGGAGCCTATTAAGTCACTGGGGATGTTGCTTTCAATGTGTACCTTTTGCAGTGTTCATCTTATCACAGTACTTTGACTTCATTCACAAGAAAATAAGCATTAAAAAATGCTAAAAGCAAGGTCTATCATAAACTACAATACTCTTAATAGTCCCCCAAGAGCAGAACACAAGAAAACTGTAATACTCCACCTACGTCAACATTCAGAAATAGGCTAGGACTCAGTTTCCCAGGGTATTTCCATATCCCGTTATCACTGGCTGCAACAAACTTCCATGGAAGCTTGTTAAAAACACCCCTGGCCTGACTCAGAAGATCTGATGTAGGCTGGATACAGGTGTTTTGTCTTTGTAACAGGCATTGTAGGAGATGTTGATAAGCAGGTAAATATAGGACTACAAGGTTAAGTGGCTCACCTAGTGTCACTCAGGAAATCAAGAGTAGGTAGATTACCGTTCAAATTTTATTAAGTTCCAGTTTGCAGCGGATGAAAAAATCCACCTCATAATGGCCAGTAATACTAACTTGACATTTCTGCCAATAAAAGTTTAGCCCACAGCAAATACAGGAGCAAAAATATACAGCTACCAAAAAGCCGGGGGTGGGGGGCAGGGGAGGTACTGGCCATCTGTTGCGAACCTAAAGTCCATTTCTTCATGGGTTTAGGACAGCCTCACATGTGAAGTTCTCAAAGATAACAGGCTCGCTTTATGGGTTGCTTAGCCTACAGATTCTCAGCCCCACTCCCAGAACTTCTGATTCCAAAGAACTAAGCTGAACCCAGGAATCTGTTTAACAAATCCCCCCAAGTGTTAAGTATGTAAGTCTTCTCATTTAATAGGTGGGAAGAGGACAGAGGCTGCCATCTGCCCCAAAAGTTAGTGGCAGACTCAAATACAACCTCTTCAGCCCCACAAGATCTGTAGAAGCCCTCGTTCGGCATTTTCTCTCAATTGAGGCCTTAAAAGCTTAGCACGACAAATCACTCTTGTTGTGTTCACAGGGGAGCGATGGATTACATGCACGGTAGGGCTGTTGAAAATACAGATAGCAGAACCCCATTCTGGGCCTACTGAATTCCCGGAGTGCCAGAAACTAAGTAATCCCACCTTCCAACCCGGGATTCTTTACCCAAATAAAACACGAGAATACTGCTGCAGTGCAGAGCAAGGGCTCTGGCGGCAGCTTTGAATCCAGATGTGACACTTCGCAGAGACATGGCCTGTGGCAAATGACTTCACCTCTCTGAGCCTGTATTTTCCTCTGCAGGCAGAGGAACCAATACCTCTCCCACGGTCGAAGTGCGGCTCCTCGCAGGTGAAAAAGCCTGTTCCCCTCAATAAGGGTTAGCAACTCTCCCTATTTTAGACCCTTTAGACCCTTCCTTTCCGGGAGGTCCTAAACGAGGTCCCGGAGGTCGCTCAGGAAGGGACCTCAGGGGCGGTCCTCACACTCGCAGCCCCCGACCACTCAGCCGCAAGCCGGCCAGCCGCACCTGCCCACGGAGCCGGGCGTGCAGGTTCAAAGCCGCCCGTTCTGAAGCAAATCCAGACGTCCCCGGCCTGCTCCGCTGCCGCCCGCGCTCCAGGGAACCTTGAGAGCCGGGTACCAACTCCAGCAACTCCCAACCACAGGCCGCGTCGTCGGGCACTTCCTCTGACGTCACGCGCCGCCGCGGCCGCTTCCGGCGCCACCACCTGGGATCCGGGCAGGTCGGCGTACCCTGAGCCCGGAGTGCCGAGTCGCTGAAGGTGCCGATGGGAGGGCTGGGATCGGAGGGGAGCGCAAGGTTTGAGGGTGCGGTGGAGCCCCCGAGGGCCGGGATATATTGAAGGTGGGGATGACGACGTGTTTCCTAGGCCGAGGTCCCTCCTCGCCCCGCTCTGGCGGGGAACGTCATTCCCCCACAGCCGCTACTGGAGACGAGCAAGCGCCCGCGTCTTTGGTCTGTGCGGAAAGAGCGACTGAGTCCCAGTGGGGCTGGCGGAAGGGCGAAGGCATTGGGGGAACCTGGTCCTGATGTGCTGAGCAGAAAGATTTTACTTGTATCCTGATGGCCGTTGAGAGGCTAAGATGCAGCATTGCGGCCTGTGCATACCTCGATCGTAGCACTTAGAACAGGGCATGGCGCCTTATTCGTCATGGCTATACAGTATTAACAGATTTTGCTTGAGAAAAGATGCCAAAGTTTCAGTTTATACGCCATCGTTTACTAGGTGCATAGTCTAGGTCGAGTGCCCTGCTTCTTTATAAAATGGTCATAGCTTTTGTTGGGAGGATTAAAGGAGATAATGTATTTTTAAAGAATTAGCATGATACCTGGAACGCAATACAAACTCAGTAAATGTTGGGTAGCTTCCCTTAACCCCATCTGAGTTCTTGAGAAGTATCTTTAAAGTGGCCATGTTGAACCAAGTACTTTACAGTGTGAAAATAGCAAAAGTAGCACTAAATTAACTGTTTTGTACAAGTTACTCTCATAGCTCTATCAAAGGGTAGCCACTGTGGAAGTCTTTAAAATAAACCTTGTATTATGTAGTGCTTACCTGCAGAAAGCTCAGTGTACCTCCATCAACTTCCCTATATTGTTGCTACTATCAAATCTAATTTCACAGCATCCATTATTCTTTGGTATGCTTTGTGACATTGAAGGGAAATGATTTATCCTTGAACTGAAGTGAAAAAAAGTGGTAAGGCTGGACTATCATTTTTATCTCCCCCCTTCATCAACTAACAATTTGTAAGTGTTGCTTCTGGCTCTGGAACCTTGTCTGTATCTTGCAAAGGATGTCATTTCTTTCCTTTCAATGATTATGGTTTTGGAACAGAAACAAAGAGGTCCTGGATTGTTCTCCAAGTAGAACATGTCTTAGAAATTAACCCATGGTCTGCTTGCACCCAGAATAATGGTATCACCTTTAACACATTTAACAGAATCACTTATGTTTTTATCAAGTACCCAGGGTGATTCTGATGCACAGAGTGTTTGAAAACCTTTGGGATACATGTAGTGTGACAGGTTGTTCTAGTTTGTCTGGGGCTGAGGGATTTCTCAAGATGCAGGACTTCAAGTGCTAAAACTGGAACAGTCCTGGGAAAACTGAGATTGTTGGTCATCCTAGATACATGTGAGTGTATAGTTGTAGAAAGTTTTTTTTTTAATTTAAGATGTTCTCGATGGGTCTTGGCATCCTGGATTTCTTCATTTCTATTTGCAGTAGTTGTGTTTTTATTAGAGGCCAGTAACAGAGACCACGGGAGAGAGAATGAAAGTGGGGTGCATTGCCAGTCACAACTCATTGATTCTCAGGTCCAACCCTATTCTTCACTGCCCTCCTTGCAGTACTGGAACATTTCTCTCTTGCCTTCTGGCCCGGCATTAAGCTTCATCAGGAGAGAATACTGGAGGGACATTAGAGGAAGAAGAAGCTCTTTTCCCTGACTCCAGTGTGTTCCTCTCGGTTGGCTCTGCAGCGCAGTGGCCAGCTGTGGTTAGAACCTGTCTGTGGGCTGAATTAGTTGAATTTACAGCCTTGTTAAGTTTCTCTTGTGAGGTTAAGACATCATTTGGGAAGGCATGGGATCCCAAAACTTGAAATAGGGAACATCTGCTTGGACCCAGATGAAACTGACCATCTTGAACACCCAAGTCACCCTGAGTCTCCCGTGGCAGTGGAAGTAGCTTGCCCTCCTGTGTCTGGGGAGACTAGTCATCCTTTGCTTGAAAACCATATGAAACCCTCACCTGGAGCAGACACCTTGAAATGTGCAGCATAGGTCTGTACTTCCTGATGGGCAAGTGTGCTTCCAGATTTGTGCCTTCCTGCGTGTTCTGCCTTGACATAGAGGCAGGTGGTGGCTTCTCCCTATATCTGCTATTTCTGCATATTAGTTTTCCTTTCCCCTTTGTAAGTAATACCCTGTCATGGTTAATAATTATTTTTCTTGGTTGGAATTACTATGTGGTTTCTGTCTCCTGTCTGAGTCCTGAGTCTATACAATGTGATTAAGATCAGGGATGAGAGCAATGGCTAGCAAGTGGCTGGCTCCAGGGTGGGCCTTAAACTGCAAGTAATTGGTTTGCCTCTGATTAGGAGCCTTATTATCTCTGGCCCTTCATGCCTGTAATACCTTCTTGTTTCTCTTCAACTGAGACGACCCTCCTGAAGTCCAATAGGCTTTGCTGGGTCCATTCTCTTGCCTTTACTCTGAAACCAGCATTTCTCAGCATGTGGTTGGAAGACCATCTGCATTGGAGTCAGTAGGGGATGCTTGTAAATATGAAGATTCCGGACAACCCCGTCAAAATTCTGAGTTGGGGGAGGAGAGGAAATAGCTCAGTGGTAGAGTGCAAGCTTACCATGCTCGAGGTCTTGGATTCAATCCCCAGTACCTGCATCGCCCCCCCCCCCAAAAGATTCTGAGTTAGTAGATCTGGAGCAGGGCCCAGCAATTTGCATTTTCAATAGTGCCTTGTTTCATTTTGCAAGAAGCTTCAAGAGCTAAAGGGTTACATTTTGCAAGAAGCTTCAAGGGCTAAGGGTTACATTTTGCAAGAAGCTTCAAGAGTTAAAGGGTTACTTTTTCCAACTGCCTGCTTTCTTCAGGTGATTACTTTTCCACTCAACAGTTAATCTCATCCCCTGGATGACAAAACTGATAGTTACTTTAAACGCTGGTAGCTTTTAGAAATAATTCTGGGTGAGGTGCATGCTGTAGCCTGTTTTCAGTTGCCAATGTTCACACCAGACTCTTGCCAAACATTCAGTCACATGCTGCTTGTGGAGCCCCTCCTGAGAAAAGCCAATCCAAGGCAAATAACGGCCATCATGCTAACAGTTCTCCATGAAGGTGTCACAGAGAAATTCCCAGCTCGTGTCTCAACTGCCAAAGGCTTGGGTTTCTCAGCTTGAGGGAGGAGGTTTTCAAGTCTCTGCCAACTTTAAACAATGTTGAGGAAGAGAGGATGCTTCCCCAGACTCCAGACAGGCACTCCTCCTGTTCAGTGCCCAGCATGATTGCAGATGCTGCCAGAGAGATAATCTTCCAGTAAACCACAGTGTAAATGATAGGAGGTACAATTAAAGAACATTTTAATCTGGGCGTGGGGTATGGCTCAGTGGTAGAATTCGTGTTTAGCATGCACAAGTTTCTAGGTTCAATCCCCAGTACTGCCACTGACCAAAACCAACCCAAACCAAACCAAAATAAAACAAAACCAGTAAAATCAGATATGAAATTGTAGAAAGCAGACAAATCTGGGACAGGAGAGCTAGAGGTCGTGGTCATCAGCAAAGATCTTTATGACAAACAGGGAGTTATGTCAAGGTTTTAAAACATTCAGATGGCTTAAAGATATTTTGATAGTTACATTACCCCTAAAATGATTAGGCTGCATTTCCGTGTCCTTGTTTCTAAATAATAGCAAATAATATTATTAGTTAATATTTCTTGACTGGTTCTTGGATGCCAAGTGGTGCTCCGATTACTTACAAGTGTACACTGATGTAATTTCCAGAACAACCTTATGACGTAGGTAATATAAACATTAGTCACATTTATAAAGGAGAAAACCGAAACACCATGCTACATGATGCCACCATGCCGCTTCTCTACAAAGGTATGGCAGAATGAAAGCCAAGTTAGGAGAGACAGGACTATTCTGGGAATGATACATTGAGCCATTTGCCGGGACCTCATAGCTGATTTCTTTCAATGACTTCAAAAGTGAAGAGCGGGTAGCAATATAATCCAGCAGACCCTGGATTATAAATAGTTCTTGCTGGCTTTATCTTGATGGCTTAGCAGATTCCTCCTTAGAGTTACCGAGTCCTCAGATCTGTGTGAACTGCCTTATTTCAAGTGAATGGACTGTGTCTCAGCCTCACTGCTTTCTTAGTGGGTAACTTCAGAGAAGTTTCTTAAGCCCTCCTAACCTTAATTTTCCTCATCTCTTGGATCATGTGAAGATTCACTCATACATTGAGTGATACACTCATTTAATCATCAACTAATAAGGAGCACTGACTGTAGCCAGCACTGTGCTAGATGCTAGGGACAAAGTAGTGATCAAGACAGCCCTGGTTCTTGCCCTCGAGGAGGTTATAGTCTAGCAGGGGAGGTAGACATTCAAAAAGCAAATATTGCAGTTGTCATATTTGATATGAGACTCCATCATGGGGGGCCTAACCTAGTGAAGTAATGTCCTTATTGTATGCTGAGTCCTAGGTTGTTGGGAGTTCTGAACTGGATCTAATTCAGCTGGGGGGTCAGCAGCTGATGGTTGACTGGTCTAGACTAGCCTTGGCTCCATGTGGTCTCTCATCCTTGAACAAGCTCACCAGGTATGTTCTAATAGTGGTGTTCGGAGGTGTGTGCAAACACACACAAGACCTCTTGAGGCCTAAGCTTGGAAGTGGCAGAAAACCATTTCTTCATTTATTGGCCAAAGCAAGCTAGCCCAGGTTCAGGGAGTGGGGAGATAGACTTCACCTTTTTTTTTTTAATTTGTATTTTATTGCGTTATAGTCAGTTTACAATGTTGTGTCAATTTCCAGTGTAGAGCACAATTTTTCAGTCATACATGAACATATATATATTCATTGTCACATTCTTAGACTTCACCTCTTGATTGGAGTTGTCACAGTCACACTGCAAATGGTATAGATAGTGGGAGGAGTGGAGTATTGGAGCCATTTTTGCAATCATTCTACCATGCTAAGTGATGGGGAATACTGGAGAAATGAAATTT